CGAGGGGGAAAGGCCTTATTTTATGCTTTTTCCTACTAATCTAGCTTTTCACTTTCGTTTATTTCTCGTAGATCTCTTCCTAATCCGGCCATTCCATCAAATAAAGCTTTTCTTTCTTATTCCTTATTCGATTTCGCTAGTACTATGTCGATCTTATTACGAATGGATTGAAAGAACTAATAAAGAGCTAATAAAGAATTGATTTTCAGGCCGTTCTGGGCTAAGAGCTCTCTTAAGCGACGATTATGTGATTTGATCATGTGATCCTGTGATTCGCTCTTAGTATACTATATGAATATAGAACTATATATATAAAAAGATATATTATTATATTATTTTTTATATAAAAACAATAGTTTAATTAATACAATATAATGTCTAATATACGTAATCATTCATTACTCTTATCTTAGTTTAAGACTAACTTAAACTAAGCAATTATTCTTATATAAAAGATGAAGAGATCTCTTGAAAATCTCTTTTCTCTTTAGCTTTCTTATTCTAGTTCATTTGATCTCTATAATATGCTCTAGTATATAATCGTAATATATGATACCTAATCATTTAAATTCAAATTATCTACTTATATTTATATAATTCTATACAAAATCTATTTGTATCGGTTTAAGAAGGATACGAATAACGTAGAATTTAAAACATAGGCTCTGATTATTAGAATATATTCTGTCTGAGGAGCTAGCTAATTATAGAAAGAAGTAAGTTTTAAATAAGTCTTACTATGAGACTATGTTATATGGATATATATATAGTAGTAAGCTATCAGGAAACAATCCCTGATACTGTGCCTTTTGGACAGATTGCGTGTGTGGCGTAGTGGTAAAGCTTACAACTCCTATTGTATCCGCTTACGTAAACAGACTAGCTCCTTTAATATAGACTATAATAAGTTGAGATTATTCTTTTAGTTCTTATTTATAGAATTTTAAAATCTATTATAGAATCTAAAAAGTATAAAAGTAAGATGTTTTTCAATTTTAGAGCATGAGAGTAATTTATCCTATATATTTTGAGGCTAATCCTCTCGCTTGATATTTTGTAATGATCAAATAACTTGAAGTTATTTACCTTCTTTTATACAATTTTCTATCTTCTATAGATCTAAAATCAATGAGACTTAATTTAAAGAGTGTAAACGATCTCTATTCATTACGTTCAAAAGAGGAAGATCATTTCTAATACATTAATACTAATATAATAAAAAATTGAATAGGATTGATAATAAACAAGTTTTGAAAATTCTATTCTATAGGAGATGTAAGATTAGATCAATGAGAAGTAGGGATTTACTAGGCCGGAGAACTGAGGATTATAGAGTAGAGATATAGAGAGAATAGAACAGTAGTATCTTTTGATTATGATTATGGAAAATTCACTTGTACATAAGAAATAAAAATAATACTATGGATTTCATCTGATTTTGTAACCTGACTGCTCATTGTTGAAGTGATTACTGACTTCTGTACAATATATTCAATCGAGATTATTGTCCTAGTTACTAATACAGAGTTACTTTCTCGTTGACTTATCATAGCCATTATATAATATGTACTTGGAATTTCTCATTTAAGAAAGAAAAAAAAGTCTAGGAGAGGATAAACGAGGATAGAATCTCTTTCAAATCCAAGTTGAAGTTAAACAATGGAAATCCTAGAATATTCGGTCTAAGACAACAAAATGTTGATATCTAAAAGTAAAATTGTATATTTGTATAATCTAAGACGAGATCGTAGTCTCGAAGTATCACTCATGCTTGCATCTCTAGACATCTCTTTGCTTTATATCATACATAGTGAAGAGAAACTAAAGTATACAAAAAGAAATTCCCACGGCACAAGTATCCGGTAAAGATCCATGTTTAAGGTTCACTTTAGACAACGAGAAGCTCACCGTTATTCTGTGTTCCAACGCTCCAAGCCCGACCCTTCAAATTCAAACTAAAAATGATAAAATGGCTACAGTTCCTTACCCTTGAGTAATATAGTCTTCCCCTCCCGTGATTAGATGCTCCAAATTTAGCCTCGCACTCCGAACGATCATACTTTTCATTCCCTTTTCCTTTGTACCTTGCGCATCTCCCTTCTTCAAACTATTGACACTACTATCCTTGTCCATCAATTCCACCGGTTTATAATGTTGAAATAGTTGAGGTTCCACTGAAAAACATTTCATGTCTAAATACCCATCACGACAAAGAGACGCAAGTGCATTATCGACAGGAAGATTATTACCGCCTTTTACCGCAGCCATGAGAATCTTCTGAGCTCCACGATAGGAAACTGCATAGCCCAAGGTACATTTAGGAGCACCAGCTTTATGAACTATACGCGTCTTTTCGGGATAATCTGCGAGGGTTTTAAGATATGGTTGAGAGGATTTGAGAGCAACGGTTTCGTCATTGTCAATTCTGTAGAGCTCGTCCTTTTTCCCTTTGTGGAAAACAGAGGGAAGCTCATCACCACAGTGACCTGGCCATAATACGTCCCAGTCATCACCGTATGGGGAATGTTGACGTTGAGAAAGTGGGATGTGTGATAGAGTGCGGATTCCCTTGGCGAATTCGGGGAGTTGGGTTCGAAGCCGGATATCCCAGTCAACGTCGTCTTCCATAATCAATGCTGAGGCAAGCTTGTTTTCTACGATTCTGTGTAATAGTCATGAGGATTAGCATCGAATCATTCGTGTGCTCAAGCAATCAAACTGATAGTAGATAGTATATACATACCTCCGTATCACATTCATGTGACCCCGCCAAGGACCCATCGCCCCTCCATTCAAAAAATGTTCCTAGGTCAAAGCGTCAATCCTTAGTTCTAGTCCCCTTGTCCCAATGTGTAGTAAGTATCGGGTGCTGTTGTAGAGTATATTTCACATACCGGCGGCTTAGCCTTATCGACTACTTCATCGCCTTTAATTCCATCTACAAATTCTACCTCAAATCCCGTCAGAGAAGCAGACAATACAATCGCATCCCGTTTGTCTGAATGTTCGCTCAGCCCTATGACCACTACTTTCTCAAACTAGCCGGTTATTGTGTTAGCAAGCTATTTCGCCCAATAAAAATTGGAGGAGGGTGATATTTACACCAAGCGTCGCATTACTGGCTCGACCTATCTCTGAAATGGTGTCGGCCGGTATAAGCTTCTTATCGGAAGTGGCGGAGACGTAGTTGCGGCTATCTGAAGATGACTTATCTGAGTAGTCTAACCATGTTGAGGATTTTGGTGATTCCTGGCGAGTTTGGAATGAGATAAGAGTAATGAACACGAGGGCGACAAGCACGCCAAGAAAACAAGGGCGTGAGCTTCGGGGAATCATGACTGTTCTACTATTCCATAGGCCGATATTGGTTATGAGGGGTACATAAGATGATGATTATCGAAAGGTTACATTGGAATGGGAGTACGCAATGTTGAAGAGAATAGGAAGGTCGAGGACAGACTGGCCGAACGAAATTGCCCTATTTCGTGATTCAGCTAAGGATTTTGAAGAAGGCATTAACCTTTTTGTACCTGGGCGGCTAACGGGGGTAACCCAGACGCTAATCACACCAAATGCCTATCATTTGTTCTGTTTGAAACGTGAAGCACGTGAATTGATAAATTAAAGAAGAAATATGTGATCCGGTAAGCTGGTACCGCATCAGGGGCTGGAAATTGCCATCACATTATCGGCTCGGTTAGCGCTCGCTGTTTAATGCCCCTGTCCAGTATTTCTTCGAGTCAAGGGTCCCAAATCAAGAAGATAGAAAAAGAATGATTGCAGCGTGACAACATGAACAATACAACCAATTGTAAGTGATGTTGAAAGGTCTATGCCATGTTCTGTAAAAAAAAATCACGAGGATTACTGATTCCCACGAATCTGTCTCAAAAAGCTACGAGGATTTTAGTGAAAGGAAAAACTCCAGATACTCCCTTGTAAGAGTTGGGGCCATCGCTCACCACACAGGTAACGCTTTTCCGGCTAAAATATAGGATTATTCACTTTTTTATACTCTAGCTTATTCACTATAATGAAAGACAAAATTAAAAATTACACTATAAAAATACTCAGAACTATTGGAATTACTCAAAAAAATATATCGTTTATTTTTAAATGTTTTTATAATAGTATTTTTAAAAGGTTAAAGTTGGAAATTCAAAAAACTTTGAAAAATTTGCTTATTTTGTATGGGAAAAGCGTTACAAGTTAAAAATTCTGAGTTTTTTCAATTAAAAGTTTATATAACTTTTTAATCAAAATGTTTAAAGATAAATTAGACATTTTTATATATATATAATGATTCAAATTATTCATCATCGAGTTTTTATAATTTAATATCAATAATTGAATTAATTATACAGTATTTTAGTTTATATGAGAAAACATGAATTTTGCAGGGATTATATCACAAAACGTCACGGTGTGCGGTGAGCGATGGCCATAACTCTTACATCGTCCGGGGTTGAAACAAATCCTGCAAGATGGGGTTAGTCATGTGACTTGATCTTGCTAAGACGGGGCCAATTGTATTGTGCTGTGTCTATGAGGTTCGCGCTTCACACTATCGTAGCGATTACACCGTCCAAAATTAGTATCCCTTACGATGATCTTGACAGGGTCCCGAATACCTTACACTCCAAAGTCCTTCCATGGATCGGAGATGTCGTAGAGTTTTCGTTCTCTTCAATTATTGTACTCATCGCACAAATATTCTCAAGATAGTATTGCAGTCGATGATACATTGAGAAACGCTCTTCTTTCAAAAGCATGACACAGAGTTGGACTTTTGAGGCTCCAGTCAACGTCACTGCAACTTCTCTGGTGAACCTTACGTAGGCACCTCACACGTTCAATGTCGCCAAAAATGGAGATTTTCTTTTGAATCTATGGCTTCTGCGCGCCGACTCAAAAGACAACACAGTAGTAAAAAAAATACGCACCTTTTCTTCTTGCTGGTAAGTTATACCGATTCACTTTGTGAATTAATTACTAAAATCATGAAAGGCAATCAAGATGTCTATAATTCTTTTGTTCTATGGACACCTACAGTCGATGATATCGATTTCAATGTTCCAGCCGCCGGAATACATCAGCTGGCATGGGAACATAGTTCAAATAATACAAGTCTCAATTCATCAAGCACAAAACTTGAGGCGTGGTCAAGGGGATTCCATATCATATCGCCGGTCTCCTCAAGCACCTCATCTCCCACCCCATCATCGACCTCATCAACTTCAACAGCTTTTACAACCTCAATAACCTCAATAACCTTAGCAACCTCAGCAATCTCAACAGTTGCAACCACCTCCACCACCCCGATAACCTCAACCATCTCCCAAGAACCCGCCAAACAAAGCGCCTTCCCAGCCGGACCTAGCAGCGTCCTTACCATCGGGCTAGTAGTCGGAATTGGAATCCTCCTCATAATATTATTCGCCGCTTCATTCTGGGGATTACGAAAATATCGTTGGGCAAAGAAAAACTCATCCCTCAAACTACTATCAACACCCCCCGACTCACCATCATCACCAAATTCAGAAATGTCTTACAACTCCCCATCCACCTGGATACTTAATTCAATACCCCATGAATACTACGCTACACCTACAAACTCAGCACATGGCCCGACACCACACGACTACTATTCTCCATCTACAAATCCACCACCTGGCTCAATGCCCACTCCAACACAACACGAATACTACGCCTCTCCTACAATTTCCTCACCCGACTCCTCACCGCGTGAATACTACGCTCCGCCCACAAACTTAGAACCAGTAGCTCGCGCTGAATTACATTCATACCCTGTTCCGTATCCGATTCCCGCGCCGGCGCGTGATAGGTCTATGGATAAGTTTCTACCAGGAGATGTAAAACCAGCTGAATTACCGGATAATGTTAAGCGAGTTGAGATGTAATGAAGTGTATGTGATGAAGCGGGTGGTGGATGAGAGATAGTGGGACGAGAGATATAATATGATGTATATATATAATTTGGATAATTGGGCGAAAATGAAGGAGTATCTTCCTCATGTGGATGGAGATATGGTGTGGGTATTTTTCTTCTTATGTATAAATTGGATTATGAGATGGTATTTATCAACTCTGACTAGGTTAATTGGGTTTGTTTATTTTGGTACAAGATACCATTCTGGGCGGTATTTTATGAGTGGATTGGATTATACACAAACTGGGATATGGAAAGTCGGATCGAGCATCTTAAATGAATTTCGATACTTCTTATACGAATATTGTCAAAATGATTTATACAAAATTAAAATAATAATAAATTGTAAATATTTTGAAAGCAAGTTAATGGTGATCTCTGATAATCAGATTATTGTTTTCGAATGTATATCAAATAATCTAATGAAATTCTCTTACAAGATCGTACGGACAGTAAAGTGTCTTCTCTGTATATCAATCCATTGACTATATATTTTACTTTCCATTTCATTCACAAACTTCAATCAAACATCAAGAAACTTCCTCCATATCCCATTCAAACTTCAAATTCGAAATGAACTAAGATTACAACACACGCATCCGATCAGAAACACAGTAAAGCAAACACTACATATCCATCCCATCACACCCTTTACTAACACAACAGCTCTTTCGATCCCACAACTCGTACTATCTATGTCCTCACAAAGTATATCTATCTTACAAAGCCCCGAAAGCGTTTCTTTAGAACTCCTAGTCATCTCTTATCCTTTACGCATATTCGTATTCACAGCTCACTAGAGGATTCAACAAGCTATCTATCTAATATCGTCCTGATAATCACCATCGTCTGTTACTAGTATTTTATTCTATCTTTTCTATTCTATTCTATTCTATTCTATTCTATTCTATAATCAGATTTTATCTGATCAATATATACTAAATATCCATTGAATAAAACTAAATAAATAATAAACCTACCATAATAAATTTCACTAATATAGATAGATATTTAGATATTATATCAATTTATATTACACGTCTGAAGGTAGGTATTCAATGATATACTTACAATTCTCTAAATCTCAATTACATTTAGAGATAGTTTTCTTTTATATCGAAAGCTTTCTTATATCAATAACTCACCTTCTAGTTTACGAACTCTATATAGATACCTAGATATCAAAAGTTGCGTCTCTCTTCTCAATCAATTTAATCTCATATTCATTCATTCATAATATCTCAATTCAAGTATTAATAACAAACTCGCCTTTCCATCCCACCCTTCAACCCAGTATAACCTCAATATAACTCAATCCTCAATCTCTAATCCCCAAGTATAAAATCTACAATCAGTTATATATCTATACTCATCTCCAATCTCAAATACCCCTCAATCTCTTCATTCCTATCCTTATATCATATAACTAAAATCAATTTCTTATCTTCTTTATTAAAAATCAATATAATATACGACAAATTACTCTCATACTCTCCAAAAGTCATTTAATTACTTTTATGCTTTAAAATTGAGTAATGATTTATTCTCATACTCTTTATATTCTATAGTATAGAATCTATAAAGAAATAATGTAATTAGAATCTATTCTTTTTAAACTAGATTCTATTTATAGATTCTATTTTTCCACTATAGAATCTATTCTCCTACAGTACTAGGCCACTTATACTTGACGAACCCCACTTTTATACTAAAACACATATATTTCACTTTAATATATTGATAGAAATATTGAAGATTTTTATTGAAAGAATTTATAAATCAAATTTCATACAACAACATCAAACAAGGCCCACGAGCTTATAACAACCATATCTACGGATATCCCGAAATCATATTATACAATACATACCAGCGCGATCGCTGTAGCGCTCCGAGCTGCTTGGCTCGAGAATGCTGTCGCAGCAGAATTAGAGAGGGCCGGCGAGCCAGCCGTTACCTACAGGGACAGCAGGCTCCCCGATCGATCTCGATAACCGCTCCTCAACCACTACTCCAAAAAGAGCATGGATTAATAACAAAAGTGCTGATTCCTTTTCAAGCTTATTCGAAAGCAGCCAGAATATTATTAAAATAGCTATGAAGATAGTTATTTAGAAGAAAATCGATACACAACGGAAATGCATTGCAGATAAAGCTTTAGTACTCATCAGCTTCAAAACGATCCTTGTATAGTTCGCAATGTAATTTGTGGAACAGAATCTGAGCCGACTAGCAAGAGAATTGGTACGCAGAGTACTAACAATCATCATAGATAATACAAAAGGGATCTTCAATTCGAAGCTAGCAATAGAAAGTGTAAAGCTAACTACACAAACATATGCGGGGATACTTCAAACCCTCAAAACCGCAATTGCTACTCCCTCCGGCTCAACTGTAAAAACAGGGGCTGCAAACAGGCCCAAGCAGGTGATTAGTGGAGCACCAAGATTAGAATGCATAAACAAAAAACTCTTCCTCCAATTCGACAAACAAATCAAGATGGAGTCGTCCTTATGGGGGATCAGATAGACATTAGTAAAGGCAATCCCAAAGATTGCTACTCTAGGGGCTAAAGCTATTATAGTAATAACATCCACTCGAACTGGATGAGCAGTTACAGTTTTCCCAGAAGCCCATATAGTCCTTCTTGCAAACAAGCAACAGGCTATAGCAGCTACTAAAGCTACAGATCTTGCAATCAGTAAGCCATAATATACATATATAGCACCAGGGGTCCCGATAATCATTACCAATCTTCTGGGAATGCCCACAGAGATTGGAGAAAAACAAATGAGGAAAGAAATCTGGTATCAGATAGGACTATATCCAGTACAGGTAGCAAGATCCAAGTTCAAAGCAAATAAGCAGAATCAGATCACCTGGATATTATCCTTCCAAAAATAGCCACCTCGTTGTAATCTATTCAACGAGATCCGAATATTCCCAGCAAGTAGAAGATGAGCCTTAGGAAGACACAATCCAGGGTATCAGTAATACTGTAAAAGCTGGAAATGCAAAAGAGAAGTGATATACAGAAAGTATGCACACCCGCTATCTACTTATAAGCCAACCGGGGATTGTAATCACCCAACACAATACACAGGATACTGCGAGCCCTTCCTAGCGGACTATAACAATTACCCCACCAAGCCCCAACGGGTAAACGGCAAGATAATACACCCAAATCGAAAGCAGATTCAGATCATCCAATGAGCAGGAGAGATTAGTACTATTATTACTTCAGCACCAGCAATAACAATTCAAATATTAGTGATAATACAAGGAAAGAAAAGGAAATCTAGAATGGATGCAGTCTCCCGACACAAAGATAACAGCAACTCAGAAAGCGATACTGAAAGAGAGCAAGCAAACAATATCTCAAGAAGCTCAATAAATAAAAAGCGGGATACGTAAAGTCAACATATTACTCATAGTAAAGCAATAAAGATCAACAAGAATCTCAACCTTAAAGTTCTAAATAATCAGACTATGACTAGAGAACATAATACAACAATAAAAGATCTATATAAATAAATCGAATCTGCTATCTATTGCCTGAATAAATATACGGAAAAACCTCGCACCACATACAATAATATTGCAGCGAGTATTTGAGGAAAAGATCGATATAATATATATACAAAAACCCTAAGTATTCAATACATACACTCAAACATATAACAGATATCAATGCCTATCCCCAGTGACCTCCTGAAGGGGGAACGGGATGTGTGAGGAAGGGCAGGGACGCCTATAAGTAATGATATATATCAGAACTGAGACTAGACTACAAGTGCTACAATTAGTAGGAGAGGAGTATAGAGACTATATATGGCTTTTTATAAACAGAATTAAACTACTAAACCTATATAAGGAATCAAATACCTCAGGAGTCCTGGAGATAATCCTTAACCTAATACCAACTGGGGACACAATCATTGAGGGAGATTTCAATGCTCACCACACACTATTCAAGCCAGGTGTGAATACAGCGTATGGTAACAATCGGCTCGCGGAATGGTCCAGCGATAGAGGCTTCAAGTTTACGAACATCCCGGGTCAAGCGATATATAGAGCAGGATACATAATCGATCTAGTCTTTTCCAATATCCCAGAAATATATACAGAAGTAAGAACTGATATGTATTACAGATCCGATCATAATACCCTCCTCACCATTATACAAAAAGCAAGCTCAGCACCAAGATCCTAATACGCGTATCGCATCAGGGAGGAAGATCTACCTCTGTTTCAAAGAATGGTATCAGTTAACATAGTGGGAATCAAACGGGAGGTACAGACAGCAATCACAAGTATAGCTCTGGATTGAGCTGTCGAAAACATGCAGAAAGTATTATAATAAATAATCAAAACGATAGAAAAACTGAATCAGAAGATAGAAAAATCAGCCCCCTAGTGGATACCCGACTGTACAATCGCTTGAGATGTATATCTTCGGAACTGTATAACCAATAGCAATTATTTTACAAAATATAGAGTATTCTTATTGTACATATGATAGGCTAAAAGAGGGTACTAAAGGAAATTTCTTAATAAAATGAAATCAGATTGAAACCTATATAGAATAATTGGATGATACAACCTGAGCCCTATATATTGCTCTCCACTGATTATAGTAAGTGAACACACTATTACATCGAATGAAGAAAAGGCCGAGCTACTACACTTAAAGATTCTGCAGTGCTTCAAAGTTATCGACAATCTCCCAAACTCCAGATACAATTAAAATAGGGAAAAACTATCCTGGGGGAAGCCTATCTTTATAAAGGAAATGGAATGTAACACTATAGGGATCTTGAATATATCCCCGGGGATAGACTGGATCACAATGAGATTACTAAAGGCTATCTAAACGGAAATAGGCTTAGTTCTATATACTATTTTCAACAAGTATCTACAGCTCAATCACTTCCCTATAATATGGAAGCAAGTAGAGGTAGTTATACTACCAAAAATGGGGAAAACAGATCGAACATCTTTACGATCATAGCGGCCTATCGCCCTCCTCTCCTATATTAGGAAGGGCCTGGAAAGGATTATAGCAAAACATCTAGCATGGATAGCTCTAACACAAGAAATACTTAGCCCACAATACTGCAGTACTCTTCCGAAACGATCGGCTATAGACTTAATAGTGTCGTTCGTTTACAATACAAAAGTAATGCTCAACAAAGGCTACAAGATCACAATGGTTACACTAGATGTACAAGGAATGTTCGATATTCTACTTAAAAACAGATTTTTGAGACGAATGAGGGAATAGGGGTTCCCATAGAATCTGATCGCTCTAATCGACTCCTTTTTAACCTAAAGGCAATTCAAAATTAGACTTAATAAAGCAATAACTGGCTACAGTACAATGGAATACAATATCTTACAAAGCTTACCCCTCTTGTTAGTCCTATACATGCTTTATCTCGCAGAGTTACTCCAGCAAAACTCTAAACTCCGATTCGGGTATACAGATGATATTTGTCTATACCGATTATCAGCAAGCATTCAACAAAACGTTGTAATGCTAGCAAGAGATATGAAAAGCATATTCCGTTGGGGAGCTAGGAACAAAATAATCTTTGTATTCGAAAAGATGGAGATGATCTATATAATATGGCATAAGCATTCCATTAATCCGGTATGCGAAATAAACCGCGATTATATTATCTCTCCGATTGCATCAGGATTGGTTTTACAATAGCTAGGCATATAGTTTGATTGCAAGCTCATATTCAAACAACATATCGAAACGCGAGCAGCCAAAGGCCGGAAATTGGCTCATTATATCCAAGGGCTAGCCTGGATCACAAACGGACCCCTAGCAGTATCCTTATGGAAAGCAGTGATCACTTACTTATACCTAGCTCTATTTTATAGGGCAGAGGTATAATACACAGGACAAACAAAAACCACTAAACAGCATCGAGATAGAACATTAATAGTAGTAAGCATCTGATTAAAAGGAGCGATTCTAGCTATCAATAAGATTTTATGAATAGCAATTAGAGGAATCCTCCCAGTCTAGCGAACGACCCTGAATACAGTGATAATGAAGGATAGTGCTCTCCCACCAGCAGAAATAGTACTAGAACAAATAAAATGGAGAGTAGCTCTTTATGTTCAAACTATTGATCCAAAATACTCTCTTTATTATCAAGGGATAAGAGCCACCTACTCCTCCGGCAGCAGGGAAGGCCAATTATAGTTAGCCAGAACAAAGGTCCAGGTAATCAGCCAGTGCCTTCCTTAAATTAAGGAGACGACTTTAGTAGGGCTCTATTACATATTAGGGTATTGAACAGATCCCATTAGAGGTCTTATGAAAGAGATAGTGGTAGAACAGTTTCAGGAATAGTGGAACAAGTGTATATATAATCAGATTATTATATTCTCTAATGGATTGGAATAGATCGATAAGGATAATAGGCGAGTAGGATATGGATATATTGTATATAGAGAACAGACAGTAGTATATAAAGAAAATAATGGATTACATCATAACTCTCATGTATTCAATGCAAAAGCGATCGGGGCATACCAAGGCCTCCAAGTAGTGATCAGAAATATCACTGGCATAAAATAAATGGAAATCTGTATGTATATCGATAGCATATTGATAATATAGGGAATAAGAGGTACAGCCTCTATTATATCATAATGGGCTTTCCTCAAATATCATAAACTGATGTAAACACATTCGATTCAGATCAAATGATCATTAGGCCACACAGAGATCGAAGGGAATAAGTGTGTGGATGTACTCGCTGATAAAGGGACAAGAAAATCAGCTTCAGAGCATACAAATCGACCTATAGTAAGCGGTATCCGCTTTATAGCAAAAACTGTTATGGAATCGGTAGTACAGACGTGGTGGATCAAACAGAAATCAATGCTCTCCAAACAGTATCAGAAATAGAATTTAAGAAGTACAAACAAATGCTCTAATAAACTAGAACTCTTACAAGCTACTCTCTACTGCATATTAGCGATTCGCTCAGTACACAGCGATTTCGAAAGCTATTACCGATGATTTAAATATAAGGAAGCAACGATCCATTGTTTATATAGCATATACAAATCCCTCGAGCACATTGTGTATTGCCACAAAATCCTTACGATCTATGAAATCTGGCCCCCAGATATCAGGCCCAAATACCCACCCTGCAACCGGGCGGCTCAAGAATGACTACTGAAACAGCTAATACATACACCAGTCAAGTTCGCTGAATTTATTGCTATAACAGATTTCTACAGGAGCATATGCCCTAGAACACTACCAGAAGAATAAAAAGAGGAAATGGAAATGGATTGACCGATCCAGGTGAACACAAATACAGAATAGGAGGCGATCGATATAGCAAGGCTATAAAGAACAAAATCGATATATACAATACTCTGCGCTGCATTAGAATACATATAAAAGCTACCCTTACAGAATAAAGCAGCTTTCAATCAAAACATTATATAAAAGATCGGAAAGCGCGCACAGAGGTGCTCAGAGGATTGGAGACAAAAGCGCAAGTGCGTTAGCTATCGCTTAGAAGGCTACTGAGGGTATTGAGACCTCATTTTTAGGAGAGGGGGATCATGTAAATTAGAGATTATCCCGCAGTTAGCCCAACCGTAATGCCCCCTGGGAGGCTCGCCTATACGGCCCGGTTGAAAATTACTAATAATAATAATAATAATAATAATAATAAATCAAATTTTTAATTTTAAATAAAAATTCTTGATTGAATAATATAAAGTTGGATTTGGTTTTTAGTTTTTTTGTGATTTTACTGATAAAATACAGCTAAAATACTATTGATTGATTTTCAAGCTTTTTTTTTTCAAAACAAAAAAATAATAAAAATAAATTTCCATTTTTTTTTGGAATTCTAAATAAAACGAATAAAAGAGATTAAAAGTATTTGATTGTTATTTGAATCAATTATAGTCGATTGAAATAGGTGAGTTTTAGTATAAAAGTGGGGTTGGTCAAGTGTAAGTAGTCGATGACTGTATTGTAGAATCTATCCTAAAATCAATAGATTCTATCCTCCTACTATAGATTTTAGTCTCCTCTTATAGAATCTATTCTTTTCCTATAGAATCTAGTCTAAACTGAATAGAATCTATTATAGGTTCCAAAAAGCATAAGAATAAAACAGATATAAATTTTAGGACATGAGAGTAATTAAATCGCATCTAAAGGGCATGAGAGTAACTTGTCTTATTATACAAAATTATTCAATTTGATAGATAATACTAATCCTATAATATATATTCTACACATCCCAATATAAGAAAATAAGTACTAGATAATACATATAATATTTTACCTACCAAAAGGCAAGAAAGAGACAAAGAGATACCAACGCTATGCGAAATAAATACTCAAGAAAACTACACAACTATACAACTGCACAATCAAATCCATACCAAACATACCGCCCTTTATTACGCCCAAAGACATAAAAGAGAGGCTATATACACATAATATAACAAGGCTGGGGATATCAACCCCCTTAAAGCAGCGCCCGCATTCGAAATTGGCTCGAGTCCCAAGCAGCCACATCACAGGAACCTGATAGCGGGGTATGAGGCGACCATGAAGAAACAGATCTATTGAGATTGAGGCTCAGATTGAGGGGTAATCCGACACCGAGTGGGGAAAGTTTTAGATGTTGTGTAGCCTCATGAGGTGGTAGTACCTACCTACATCTGCGTGGTAAGCTTTCACGCCCGAAAAGCCTTCCCCGTATGCCACGTGTATTGTCCGCTATAGTCACGGTTCGATTAATAATTTGTCTCAAACCTCGTATTTCAATAATTTCTGGCGGCTACAGGTGATATAGTGACGTATCGGTTTAATTCATGCCAATGATATGAATACTCATACGAGAAGCTTTCCTTCCTGAATCGTACTCAAAAACCTTCTCGCTATTCGTTGTCATCGAAAGTCTGGAGTGTCTCTCCCGTCCAACTAGACAGCCAGCATTCTGACATCTTATTCAAAACACATCCATAGCTACCACTCGATCATGCCGTTCACTTGGGATCAGGACTCGAGGTGACTTACTCGGTACTGCTGGATCAGATACGTGGACAAGTTATCTGTGTATTCTCAGACTCGTTCGGTGGCGAAAAGAGGGATAATGATGAGTGAGGGGCAACCAAGTAAACTCTCCCTGAAGTATTACTATGTCCCCTCGATATGTTAGAAAGGAAAAAAAAATACAGATACTGCTTCAGGTCTATAGTGTCTTGGGCACTTGTGTCTGATTTCACCTAACCATGACTCAGGCTTCGAAGGAGTTAATGTACTGATACTGAGTAAAGTCCCCTCCTTTGCCAGCAGTCAGCTAATATGGACTAGGAAAGACTCAGAAGAAGAGTCTGCTCGCCATCACCAACATCATCATCACCACAATCATGCATCTACATCCACCTATGCCTCAGTCGTCAACTTTGCCTCAGTCATCAACTCTGGCCCAGCCACCAAAGGCTTGACCACAAAAGCCGTTCAATCTAGGATCTCAAAGAAGTACGTTTGCCTCCGCCATGAGAGCGTCAAAATACTAACCTGTTATAGGAACGAAAAATCGGATGATCAACATCATGACCACAATATCTCTACAACTGCTTCGACAACTAGTAGTACAGTTAGAGGTATTAATCTGCCTCGTCCTTCACATCAGTATTTATATAGCAATCCCCACTTCCAAATTAGATACTGACATAAAATAGAAAGAAGAACTTATTTGCTTGCCATCACCACAGCCCGGGACAGCAACAATATGAAAACCATCACTGTGACAATGCATTTGCAATAGCATCTACTTCTGCTTCAACTACCAACAGTTCGACTATAAGAGGTGACCAATCCTCAACTTCCGAAGAAGTAATCCTCGATCCTGGGTCACAAGACGAGCAACTAGCAGGTGTTGGAAGCTGGGTGGAAGAGTACAACGATAGTTATGGTGGGAAATATCTATAAGAAATGGATTTAAGCGACGCCGAGAAGCCAAAGGAGAGGGAAAGAGAGGATTGGATTATGAAGTAGAATGATGAGATTATGGTGCTGATAGGTCATTCCTAATTTGCTATGATCCTATCATCTCCAAAGAAGCATTAGAGTAGTGGGATGAAGTATTTTGATGGCGCTGGTGGTCACAAGGTTATGACTCCTGAACGTCAGCAGCTTATCAATCAGGAAAGCTACTACTTTTCCATCACTCGGTGTGTTCACTTTGGGTGATGATGATATCTGCACTTGCTCTAGAAAACTTCACGGGTTATCCTTGACTCGATATCATAAAATGCATCAACCCAATAGAGCCAAATGAGAAGATCGAGCTAATACCTCCATGGTGAGACATGAACCAACCAACCAAGCTGTAGAGCCCACGATGTATAATTTTTCCATTGCTTCATCTTCACAAATCTCGATACCAAATAGTCATATATCTCTCCACGGAGAATCTCCACCGTGCACCCCCAACCCTCCACCCCCACGCACCTTTCCACTCGCTTCCCGTCGCATAATCCCGGGCACTTACGGTTACACATTCGACGCGGAGGAATAAATTTCCGGTGGTGGAGAGTTTTCCTGATCTGTTCGAATCTCGAATCTCGATGTCTCGAAATGTCAACACTTTCCACACACTTCAATATATTGAATTATATCGTCAAGCTCAGCAAGCTGCGGCAAAGAATGCGATATCGCATGCGTAATAGGAGAACGATAAATTATCGGAAGCATGTTAGAGTGATGAACGGATTGAGATGATTGTGGGAAATTGATGGCGCTTGTTAATGATGAATATGAATATGAATATGGGTATGGGTATGGGTATGGGATTGTGGGGAGCTAAGTTGGATAGCTATTTAATAGGTGAAAGTGGATTGGGTGATGTAGTTTGACATGTGTGAGTGAGCTTGAGCTTTGCTATTTTGGTGTAACGGAAAGAAGGTACGGTAGAATGATGGAAGGGCCGAGACTGTTTTCAGCCTTTGATATCTCCCTGCCTAGTCGAAAGTTTGATGCATGAAGGAGAGATTTTTGTCTGTCTGTCTGTCTGTCTTGGAATTTAATTTTGGAAGAGAAGATAGAGAATAATATGTGTGTGATCTATTTGTAGTGAAGTAATAGTGAAGATTGATAATGATATACCTATCTAGGTAGTGGTAATGAAAAGAAAATGAATCGCGTTGACAATCGTGTCTCATGTCTCATGTTCAAATCACGGGAGAGCGGAGACTAAAGATGCCGCGTTATCCCCATCGCAATAGGAAGGGATGTGTCATTGGGAGTGGCGACGCTAGATCATTTCGAGTATAAGCTACCCCGCATTTTTGTGAATCTCTGGTACCAAAGCAAAGGGTTGCCAAGTGAGACGATACAAGTGGAATTATGGATCTGTTTTGATATATACTAGGTATATCTAGGAGGAGTATACGAGACGAGTATGTATATATGAGGTCTGAGTGTGAGTATAATATAAGTATGAGTGTAAATATAAATAGTATAAATATGAATATAGATAGGAGTCTAAGTATAAATATAAGTATGAGTATGAGTGTGAGAGTGAGTGTGAGTAGAGACTATTAGAGAATAAGTACGAGTACTAAATATGCAACTACAAGACCATGAGATTATCTCATAGCAACTTATATTAACATCCTAAAGAGAAACATCACCATAAATCAACCGATCAAAAAGATAAACATCAATCATGTGGCTATGCAATAAGGATATGCTTCAATGATAACAAGGCTAAATTCATCGTGTTTTCTTTGTTGTCCCTGTTGTCCCTGTTGTATGACATGAAGAATCTCCGAAAACAGATAACGATGCATCAAGAAAGTACATCAGGCTGAGAGAGATCTTTCTATATCCCCCATTGGGTAGGTGAGTAGATGCTCTCATATGTATATCAGACCTTTGAAGTATCACCTCGGGAAAACAAGAAATGAGAAACCTGAACCCTGGCACTCTACTATATCAACCAACAATGTTCTAATTCGCACAGAACATCAAGAGGAGAGGAGAGAATCAACACTCGCATGAGCAGTAGCAGTAGCATCAATATTAGCATCAATATTAGCATCAATATTAGCATCGACATTAGCATCAAGACTAACTACAATCATTTCCTCCTTTCCCATGAGAGCCAGAAGAACATCCTTTACATCCATCCCAGAGCAGGTATAGCATCATCATCATCTCATCAAACTCAATCCCTTCTTCGCACCAAAAAGTGCCTTGCAGCCGCAGCCAAACAAAACAAGATTCAATCAAATCAAACCTTCGACCCCGCACCCAATAATTGATCCTACCACTCTTGCTTCACTCTCCCAAGTCGGCCAACGGGAACTCAACATCACATCATCCAACCAATGCGTTGAACCCATCAATCCTGGAATACTTATTGATCATTGTCTTGTCGTGTTTGTCTTCCGATACATTTTATTTGATTTGATTTCCCCTTCTCTCAAAGTCACCAGCTTCATTTCTCAACATCATCTCACAGCCACATCGTAAACGACGTTATCTGAATCTTGTCTTATCAGCACAGGGCTGTACACTATTGATATTGACTAGGGAGACGATCGACTGTGCATATCGACCCAAATACTACCAGCCAAGCCCACTTTCTGTCCCAGAGGTACGCGACGGTAATCCGGTTGGAAGAATCCGGTACACGGAGCATTTCAAGTGAGTAATCGATGTTTCTCTATTGTTCGATTTACTTTACCAAGGCTATCTACCTGACCGCTCATACCGATTTCGCATGCTTCTCGCAAACTTCCCAAGGACTTCGTTTGTTTCCGGACTAATGCCCCATCAATCACACGTCCGTTCATATGTTTGATGACGCCTGGGTCTTTTACTTGGGTCTATGCAAATAGTCCAATGATATGGATGAGATTCCCCAGAGCCCACAAGAATCAAGGTCGTTCTTGGATACCTATGTACATATAAACACCATGTCCCACGTCTATTCTTCCATCATGAAAGATATAGAGTCATTCGGGCTAACAATTCACGGCTGCCTACAGAGCAAGAAACCTGCTCAATATCATATCAATCTACCTTGAATTCACACACATCCCCTTTATCAAACCATCCACAATGTCCACCACCAACTCCATCAAGCAAGCTGCCGAAGCAGCGCGAAATAGAACATCAGAAGCAATCGAAACTACCAAACGACTTGCCGACTCTGCCAAAGCAGATCCCATAGCTGTCAAAAACGATATCCTCCACACACCGTTCATGCGTGCCGCTCTCCCTTTCATCAACGGAGGTCTCGCAGGCATGACAGCTACCACCGTCATCCAACCCATCGACATGATCAAAGTGCGTCTCCAACTCGCCGGCGAAGGAATCCGCACCGGTCCCAAACCCACCCCTCTATCCGTTACCCGCGAGATTCTCGCCTCCGGCAAAGCACTCGACCTCTACACCGGTCTCAGCGCAGGCCTCCTCCGCCAAGCCGTCTACACCACGGCGCGTCTTGGCTTCTTCGATAGTTTCATGACGACCCTCTCCGCTCGCTCAAAAGAAAACAACACCACCATCGGCTTCAAAGAACGCGCCGCAGCAGGTCTCACAGCTGGTGGCTTGGCGGCCATGATAGGCAATCCTGCAGATCTCGCTCTGATCCGCATGCAATCCGATGGATTGAAACCACTAGCCGAACGCAAAAATTATAAATCCGTCATCGATGCTCTCACATCCATTACCAAATCCGAAGGCATCACTGCTCTCTGGGCTGGGTGCGCACCCACGGTTGTGCGAGCCATGGCTCTGAATTTCGGACAGCTGGCATTTTTCTCCGAAGCCAAATCACAACTCAAGACACGCACGGATTGGAACCCCAAAACACAAACACTGACCGCTTCAGCCGTCGCCGGTTTCTTCGCCAGTTTCTTCAGCCTGCCATTTGATTTTGTGAAGACGAGGCTGCAGAAACAGGGAAGGGGAAAAGATCGGGTTTACAAGGGAATGGGAGATTGTTTTGTGAAGGTGGCCAAGGAAGAAGGCATGATGAGATTTTACAGAGGGTTTGGTACGTATTATGTGAGGATTGCTCCGCATGCTATGGTTACATTGATTGTGGCGGATTGGTTGGGTTTTATGACTAAGTAAGTGGGTGTGGTGTGTGTGGCTGGGAGTTGAGGAGCGGAGTGGAATGGCGAGAGGGAAGTGGGGCGCGGTGTGATGTTTGAAGAAATGGATGGGTTAATGAATGAATTTTTGGTCTGGTAGCATGGTTTGATGGATTGCTTGGGATGGAACTGGAATTGCTTGATGGGATGGAATGGAGTTACAAGTCAAGTTTAGGATACCGATTTTGGGGTTGGATTTTTCTCATTCAGCACATTTGGATCAGGTTTAGGAATCAGGGTACTCGGGATTCTTTTTAGTTAAGGTTAGGGATTCAATGCATTTCCGACTATTTATAATTACATTTATCGTCTTTTTGGTTCGTCTCCTTAATACGTTTAAAGATACTAAGTATATTTTTATACGTCTTGGAATGAGATAGAACAGGACTATTTTTAATATCCACATCGAGTTTGTTCAGGATAGATACATAAAGTATCCAAATATCAAGTCAGCTAATGTTCACATAGTACACATTATTTCGTCTAATTTCCATTTCACTATTCCATACAAATCAATCGAGATGATCAGTACAGAAAACAAAGATACCTAGATAGGTAGGTAAAATTCCCGCGATTCTCTCCACTTTCCTCGCATTCCCGCGCTCATCCAGCATCCACCAGCCGAAGAGGTATTCGAAAGCAAGAAGGCATCTATCATACACCTCATAATTAGATTCTCCATCAAATTAGACCAGCCATAGAACGCCCAGCCGCCATACTGAAATTTTTGCGCCCGCTACCTTATTAGTTGATCATTTAACATATCATATGCATGGTTTTCCTAATTGTTCGCAAATATCCCGAAATACCACCCCTTCGCCCCATATCCCAGATCGATGCCCTTTCAACCCTGCGTATCCTTGATTGCGATGAGAAGATCTGTCATATAAGTGGCCTGTTTAGATTGTATCGAATTAGTATAGTGAAAGATCAATAATTGTGAGAAAGATGCAGATGAGTATTCAGCACTATAAGTCATAAAGATATAAATTGTCTCCCCACGACCTTGCGGTCAATACGGATGAACGAAAGTTATGTGAATTTGTTTTGATAATCATGTGAGAGTTGACAGACAAAGAAAAATTTGAACCGAGACGGGAGGTTGAAAAGAAATAGAGAAAGTAGCATACCAAAATCTTATTATGCGCATAGATAGCGAATAATCTCGGTTCCACCGGCTTGAACAACCGATCAACCCAGGAAACTTCACCCTCCTTGAGAGCCGCCTCTTCTGCTTCGGTCTTACTGACATTCCTTGCCAAGTTTCGGAGAACGAGTACTGCACTGAGTGGAATACCTGCTGCATCATTATGCTCATCGACAGCTGTGAAGTGGTATTTGAAGCTTATACGAGGTGGCTGGACGATGTATGATGGCTTGTGTTTCTTAGCTGGTGGAGGACCTGAAGGTTCTTGTGATTCACGTTCGCTAGCAGGGGTACGTTTAGGAGGGAGATGAACTTTGATGTGAGTAGCGGCTTCTGAGAGCTTGGTGGCAGGAGAGGAGCGGAAGCGAGAACATGTATCCCATGCGCAAACATATTGTTGATTTGAGGTTGAATTGACGTATTTGTTGTCCGCATTAAGTTGGGCTCCAAAATGAGTTTTGAGAATATGTTGATAACCTGCTTCAGGAGTCATGTAGAATTCTCCACAGGGCTTTCCGAGATGGGTGCGCCACAAGCATTTGGTGTATGTCTCTCCTTGTAGGTCCACTGGCTCACTGCGGCATCGGATGCCTTTAATGATGAATTTTGTTACTGGTCCGTTTTGAACTTGTGCATTCGCTTTGTCGCCAAAGGTCGTGCTCACATTCTTGATAAAATCTGCAGCAGGTAGAAGTGATTTTGATGTTTGTGTAGCCAAGTAATTAAATTGTTGTTGATAGGCGTGCCACAAGGCAATTTGTGTGATGGACTCATCGGGATCTTCTTCGTAGAGGCAACGTAGCCAGCGTGAACTGCGCTCTGGTTCTTCAAACTTGGCAATTTCCAGTAGTAAATCTTGTGGGATAGGCGCAATCTCTGAAGGTGCAGGCTTTCTGTACTGAGTTCCAAGGTTGAACTCTTTTTCTATGATGCGAGCGCCATGCATAAGGAGTCGTGTCAACTGTTTGACCAGTGGCTCTGCTTTTACCTCTGTGATAAGGTAATCCACATTCTCAACAACCGCGGTGTACTGATAGAGGAAATCCAAACAAGCATGGGCAAGGTCTTCGTCATTCAGCAAGGTCCAATCAATAATGTTTTGTACAGCGGATGCTGGCACACCCTTAAGGAGATTGTTCTCTTCAAGATTCATTGATATTCTGCTGATAGCTCTCAGGGAAGTCAAGATAGCGCCTCGGTCGTGTGAATCCAATTGTGCGAGGAGTGAAAGGTAAAGAGGATCTCCGACCTCAAAGTGAAGATACTTGGTAAGCTGTTCGGCGATATCTAGCGCGTAGTGTTTTAACTCTACAACAGTGCCGGAATTGGGGAGGTTCAAGGCAATGGTGAGAAAATCTCGTAGAGGTGCAAGTTCAGATACGTAAAAGGCGTTTTCCTCTAACATTACCATATTTCTCATTGTTAATGCCGCCTCGTTGATCTGAAGAAGAGTATCACTGAATTCTTCGGTTTGAATATTATCATCAACTGGTAGCTTAGCTAAATGTTTGATTCTTTCCAGTATATCTGGTGTGCCTTCCAGACCGTTGATTGTGTCAGTGGTAGATATCATGTCGCCATCTTCTGTGTAGGCTATCTGCCAGTGAACATCGTAAAACAATGAACTGATTTCGAGCATCTTTTCTATCAGGGCTTCGGCAAGACCTGGAAATCCTTCGAATTTGTATTTGTCACCACGTTCCATGGAGATTTTAACCAGATGGTGTAGAGCGTAATCTTGCTCAACTTTGATGCCTGATCTCAGAGAACAGAGGCAACGAACGTAGATGTTGGGTCCATCAAAACCAGCTTCGCGAATCATTAGTACCCACTCTTGAGACGGAATAACAATCTCAGAGGAAACATTAGAAAACTTACTGCCGGGTAACATCATCCCCCTTGGAATTGTACTAGTTTTGGCACCTTCTGCGGCCGCAGCTGCATCTTTCAATGCCTTCTGACGTCGCGCAAACTCGATGGGGTTATTTCCAGGTGTAATTATAGGTCGCAGTGTCAATGGCATCTGGAGTCGAGGTTCGTAATTTGTAACTGCGAGAGACATATTTTCGGTACCAGAGGAAGGATTATGTGAGAAGGGACCACCAACTCGTGGCATGTGATGTTGATGCGAATGGGAGGGCGTTTGGTGTTGAGGTAAGTGGTGCTGTGGAGTTGGTGGAGGGTGGGAAGTCGCGGAGGGATGTTGTCGAACTTGTCGAGATGGTTGGGTATCGGGTTGAAACAACACCCGCTGTGGGGGAGCTTGTCGTAGACCTCGAGTCATTCTGCCTCCAGATCCAGGTGTCTCTTCACTTCCATTTCTATCGCGTACAGGTGTACCATCATCACCAGAAGCCTCCGAATTCTCTGTACCAAGCATGCCCGTCTCTCTACGAATCGAGGGTCTGAAATTGTCCATCGTCCGAAAAAGAAGCCCCCCTCCTTTAGCGGTTGTATCTTCCAGGATTTCACGGGGAGGTGGCACCTTGCCATGGTACGTTGAGATTTCATATGCGGCGAGGTATTTGTAATATGTTGTTTTGAGACTAAATGCCAGCGCAGGTAAATTATTAGCTCCCAAGTTGAAATCTGAACCAAGCTTTCTCCAGGCAAGTTTTTCATCGCTGACTTTATCGTAGCCACCGCGCTCAATTACAGTATTGTAAAGGTGCAATAGATCGATTGTCTTAGTTCCAACTCGTGGTTCAGGATCGAAATGCGTGCCTCTCTTTTCATGATAGACTCTAAGTTTTGCGATAAAATCCTCATATTCGGGAGTATGAACGATTGAGGTATCGTGGTGAATAACTCTTGGGGGCGCCATCGTAATATCCTGCCATGCGATATTTATGGCGATCCAATGGTTGTCCGAAAAGCTTCTTTTGATGCGACAATTAAATCAACGCGTAGAAATTGCGACGGCGACGCGATCGGTCGTTAGAGGTTGTGAGCTCCGGATTGATTTTTGGGTGAGAAATGTAAGTATGCCCGAAATTTAAGGTATTAATTATTCTACTTGACATGAACGCTAGGTAGAGGACCGTGCGTTGTATGGCCGAAGTTCAGTGGCCTGTGTGTGGCATGATACTTGCCATATCTCCAACTCTGAACAATCGTCCGTACCTTCACTTAATTACAACAAACTGTCTTCAGTTCAATTCCTTGAAAAACTTCAATCGAAAGGGACAACTATCTGAAAGGAATCCGATCAAAATCGGTTGATACAGGGACAGCGACACTGACATGACTACCATCCTAAGGTTGTCAATGTCACCATTGCTATCATTCAAACATTGATCTCAAACTGACAAATTCCCGTTACTGACTTCCATAGTATATATCATCCCAAAGTCCTCTATGTTACTTCTGTTCTATTCTTCCTTTCTTTCTTATCTCCCATTTCTCTATTCTTTTCTCAATACATCATTTATGCAGTCATTGTCGTTTATTTTCCCTTCAAATATCCTTAAATTCATAGTTCGAGATGTCTCGTTTCTTTTCTCAAGAGTCTCTTACTTCCTCACAATCGCAACTGAATTCGTCTATCGTTGTTCCTCTTGTCAAGTTCTCATGCTCTTTAACCAATCAAGGCGATACCACAAGTGCTCAATGGACTCACTATTCGAGAAGTGATCTTGAACTTGTGATTCAAGAGGTGCAAGTTGGTGGTTCAGGGAATGGAAGATACTTATCAATGAAAGTAGTGGCAGGCGCTGAGTATCTGGTATGTGATAAATCTCCGTGCAAGGCTTTCAATGTTGTAACACCTTTCAAGGAAGAACAGAATTTAAACGATATCGTGAGGATTTACAAGAACTTCGTTTTATCTCCAGGTAGTGAGGTTCCAGTGAGAGTAGTGGTTAAGCCTCCACTTCTCGCATTGCGATACCCAAAGCTCAATGATGTAAGTTAAGAGCGCCGCAAGTTTCTTTCTTCCCTTTCATAGCAGCTGACATTAATTCTTTAGGTTCGTAGGTTGCAATTCAGGTTTCGTGGTGACTCGGACTTCAATCAGGTTCTCAATATCTTGACAAACTTGGGTTTGACGGCAACAGAAAGTTTGTCGTCAGGGCCTGTCTTGCAATCCAGTCCACCAACTGCAGACTCGACGTCTTCGGGAATATCTAATGGATATTCTTCAGCTGTAGGTTATCTTCCTTTAACTCCAAACAGCGAATTCAAAGTTCCCATGCGGCCAGACTCAGCTAGTTCTATACTTCAGAGACCGAGTAGCTCTTATACATCCCAATCCGACAATCACCTCTACGTCAGACCGCAATCTGCCATGTCAATATCTTCATTTATGCCTCAGTCTAAACCATCTTCCGAACCACTCAATAGAGCGCAATCATTATATGTTTCTCAGTTCGAGCGAGAGGTATGTCCTGTTCTTTTCATTTTATTTAATTTGATTTTAATGTTCAATAGCAACGAAAAATTCAATCCTCAAACTCTCTGCTGAATACCTCAGATAAGGTGCCTGCAAATGGTAATGCACACGTGAATCGAATTTTTTTGCCAAAGGCCGAAGAATCCCAACGTCGGTTTTCTACCTCGCCTTTCTTCGAAACACAAAGGAAGCATTGCCTGCCCGATAGAATGACTTCGCTCTCTTCTGTCAACGATCCACATAATTCAAGAAATAAAATACTTGAAAGTGCACTAGACTTTTTCAGTCCAGTCGAAGATCGTTCACCGCCTCGTTCGACCGAGTATCCGTTCTTTGGTGCACCAGGAAAACGCCCAATATATCTTCCAGCCGAGAATGATATTTGCCTGGGCCTTCCTATCCCACCAAAGCGACAATTGCCATTTGCGACTGTGAAAGAGCCTTTAAAATCCAAATCTGTATCCGTAGCCGATACCAGTAGACCAGTTCAAGCCCCACAACAGCGAAAGCGACCCCTTGAAGAGTTCATCGGGGAAAGCACGTCAAATGGGAGTATCACGCCTGCTAAAAAGCCAGCAAAGAGACGTGTTGCAAGTCGCAAGGGTACTACGCATCTACCAGAAATTAATGACCTATCAAGTAAAGCTTTTCCTTCAAAAGACAGCTCAGCAAGTGACACCCTTGACATCCAAATGCAGACAGCAAAATCGCCTCCTCTTGAAGCCAGGAGGATTGCAACACCAATCGCATCAGATAAAGCGCTATCAAAATTGCAAGCAGAAAGAATCGAGGCTAGACAACAGTCCGTACCAACTCTAAAAATGGTGAATAGATCTACTCAAACTCAAACCTTTTCAGGTCGAGACCACACAGCGGCTCTCAAACCTGCTTCGAATATCTCTGCAGTAGACCTTCAGTCGACACGACCGACAGCCTCTGTATTACAGGACGATTTGGATCTCGTTGTGTCAAGATACAGTTCAGGCTCGCGGGTAAATCTGGCGCCAAATTACAACGATCTCCCCGATGACAAACGGCATAAAATGCTCAACGATTTTATAATCAAAAATTTAGAGAATGATGACTTTCTCAAATTAGCGGAGGATATGGATGTCTCTTGGCGTAGGATAGGTCTCACATGATAGTTGAGCTTTGTTAGGTTAGTGTGACAATGGTCAGTGGTGGAAGAAAACGGCATTTGGCTAACAGATGGATTTGATGCTTTGTTTTTGCTGGGTACGGGTAGCACAAAATGCAGTTTTAAGATTAGCTAGATATCTGTAAATCTGTGAATGATTTAACACTACAGCACTGATTATCTTCCGATAAATTTACAGAATTACATAACAATACGTAACAATACACAAAACTCCTCGTCTGTATCTGAGCCCAGCCCAAGTGTGCGCCGCTATATACTTTACATCGCGACGAACTGGGTAGTCCCAAGATCGATCAATTCCCTCAACCATCCCATTACCATTCCCCACCAATAGCGTATCGAAAGACTCGTGTAAAAACTTTCCCTCCTGTCATACTCCATACTTGGGCCGTTCCCTATACGTTTAGCGTTTATGCCATATAAGTATATATGATTGAGAGAAACCTCGTATAGTTAAATGCTGACTTACCGCATTCAATGAGACTCCTGTGAACATCAGCGTGATGAAAACTCTTTCTGCGCCATTACTTCCATTTGGCCGCTCTGCAGCAATCAAATGCCGATTTATAGGTCGATAATTTGGTATTCGATACTGATCTTGAGGCCAGGACGGGGGATTATCGACGTTCTCTGGTATATTTGAGGTATTCGGCGGTACTATCATATCATTCATTCTCCTATCGTCACCAGTGTGATGAATGTCATATTCGGCCAGTGTCTGGCGGGAAGAGATGGTAATGGGATTATCCGTTATTGTGGCCGACATCCTTTCGAAAACGAACAGAACGAAGTTATTGCTACGATAGAGACTTTTCCCTGGGAGATAATGAAAGCTATCCAAGTATTTTTCGAATTAGTCAGTGGGTGTGCGGACTGACGGGACACTACAAAAAGTTGACTCGTGGATATCTTCTTATAAATTAATTTTTATATCATAAGAATTATCACAATCATTCATTAGAAATGGAACAACCAAAATGTGGAATTTGATGTCAAACAATTGAAGAATGAATTTGTTTGGAAAAAAAATAAAGAATTGAGAAGTGTTCCGTCAACCCATGCACCCACCGACTTGTAAAACACATCATGTCTTGAGCAGTGAATCATTGCAATTTCGGGCAAACTCCTCCCCACCCTCCACATTCCGCCAACCCCTAGACCCTCCCCGCATCTCGGATGAGGAGTATTTTGATTCCCGTAAACTTTATGATATCCATACTGTATTCAATTTAAGATGTATCATTACATAACCCCAAAATAAATTTGTAACATTTTGCAGGACTGGTATCAACATGGCATCATTCGGCATAGACAATCTACGAGCATCTGTAATTGATGGTAGATCCAACAATGTTAGATACAGACAAAATGAGCTTCAGAGTCTCCATAAAGCTCTACGAGACAATGTCGACAGGATCACATCAGCAATCTCAGAAGATCTCTTCGGCCACGTTCGAAAAATCGATACTGAAGTCCTATGCGTTTTTTATCTTGCTTCTGACGTTATCCGGAGATCCTATCAAACGCTTAAATTCAAGGAATCGATAAGCAACGAATATAAGGTTGCCAATGGTATAGATTTCTTGTCGCGTAAAATTGGAAAGGGATTGGTAATCATTCGGCCGACGACGCATACAAGATTCTACTCAATCATATGTCCGATAGCAATTGCTATCGCCGCCGGGAACTGTGTCTGTTTAGAGGTACGTGAAAAGATTTCTCTTGATAGCTACGAAATATATACTGAGACATGACTAGCTTGGGGACACAACTTCAAAAGTTGATAGCATCTTGAAAGAACTGTTACCCCAAGCCTTAAACAACGACACATTTTACATCTCACCGAGGAATCTACAAGACTCCTCGATCCTTGAATCGGCACTACTAGTCGATCAAGCAAGCGATTCTTCAACCTCGAACATTAATCAACTCATCTCAAAATCGTCAAATCGAACAGTTGCAGTTGTTGATCGAACAGCAGATATTGAAAGTGCAGCCAAATCTATTGTCACTACTCGATTTTCTTTTCAAGGAACTTCGGCATACAGTCCCGATTTAGTCATCGTCAATGAATTTGTCAAAAGTGATTTTATAGAAGCTTGTACGAGACACGCGAGCAAATTCTTTTCCTCTAATAGCAGTACCCAAAGTAGACAAAACGATGGAATTTCTGCCACCAAAAAGCACTCAGGGAAGCTGAAAACAAAAAGCAAATCTCAACTTTTGGATCCAATAACTTTGTTCTTGTTGATGTTGTGGATAGGTAAATATATCAATGTCTATGCTTGTTCCCAGCAATCAAAACGTCAGCTAAGATAATCCAGGGCATCGACCATTACAGAGATGAAAATTAGCGGCTGCAACCTACTAATCATGGGAACTACAAGTTTATTGGATGCCATCATGACGCAAAAATCAAAGTGAGTTCACGAAGTTCCGTCCACGACGCTAGAATAAAGTACTTATAAAATATTTCCAGATCTCCATTACTCGCCTTGTACATATTTTCAGACCTGTCAACCGCAAAGTTTCTCGCTCAACATTTCAATGCCAGCACCAGTTACGTAAACCACATTCCACTGCACCTCCTCGTTGGACCCGCTGCTCCCTCAACACCACTTCCAATTCCTGCGTTTCACAAATATAGCGTGGAGATATTTTCATCTTCATGCCCACAATATACCGCTCTTCCGCCCGAAGATTTCTTGCTTCTTAATAAGGTTCTTGCAGGGGGATCAGAGGGTCATGAGCTTCTCAAAAAGACTCGAGAGAGTGCTGTAAAAGCACTGCCGGAAACGGGTCAGGCTCCTGGTCATGCCATTGGGTTTTTTGAACAGGGAATTTTGTTGGGTGGTGGTTTGTTTCTGTCGGTTGTTGTCCCGACTTTAGGTTATGTATCTTGGGTTGGAGGGAGGTCTGCTTGGGGCACCATTTGGAGGCTGTGGGCGGATAGAGCTTGAGTGATTTTGAGATTTGTAAATGTGAGTTCGGTTCGTGTTCAAGGATGGTTGTTTTGGACTGTCTCGTTATTGAATTCAATCTTTGGATATATAATGCGAGATAACCCCCTGTTTGCAATTTATAGCGGACTAGGAAAGAGATCTCGTTTAGTGGGTTCCATGATAGCGACGCAAAAATTCTGGAGGATACTTCCGATCAATAATAGCTCGACAATTTCCTAAAAACTGAGAGAAACTATTCTAGGATGTTGAGTATCTCAAGAATAAGCACTCATGTATAGCAGACAGTATCTAATAAAGTTGAATGACTAAATTTTCAAATTGGCGAACATACTGCATACAGATCACATAATTAAAAGAAGGTTATCATAACATTCTCTTAGAAGCACTAAGAACCCTAAACTTTACCCATTATCCTCGAATTTTCAGAGCCCCAGTCCCCAAAGGTATACTGGCTATTACACATATTCCTCAGCTCCCAGTCCTCTGCCCCCATCACAGCGGGAGTTCCCCGATCTTCAAAATCTCCACAGAGTCCTGCCACAAACATTGCCGCCATAAAATGATCATCTGTTCCATGCGCATCACGGTATTTGGGTAATTTCATCAACATTGTCACTGCTCTTCGCAATTCTGGTCCGGAGTTCTTGGTCATTGCATCTTCGAATTCTTGGCGGAATTCGAGCATTGCAGCATCTGGGGGGGATTCCATGGCGAAGTTGTCTATAGGGGGTTTGTGGTTAGCTCTTGGAGATAGGTGGTGGTAGAAGATCGATTCTGTACCTCGATACATTAACATCTGAAACCAATTATTTCGATACAAATTATGTACCGCACCTCCCGTCCCGATGAAGAGTACATCCTCTTTCCTTAACGGTCGTAGCGCAGTCCCTACCTTAGTATGATAATGAGGATCATATCGCGCGTTCATAGAGATAATAGTCGTTGGCGGGCATCCATCCGGGAACATTCGTATGAGGATTAAATAGGTATCATGGATCCAATCAAACTTATCATTGAATTTCGCTTTGAACCCATTCTTCTGCAAAAGTTCAACACAGCGAGTTGCCATGGGAATGTCAGGATTTAATTTGTATGGTACGTATTTTGAAGGGTGCACGTAGGCTACTGGAGATTTTCCGGGTGTGGGATTTGAGGCAACTTCGATTTCGTTGCCGAGAGTTGCCCAGTGTGCTCCCTAATTAGTGTTACAACTAAATACAGGATACTGGAGGGTATTCGAGGAAATTCTGCTACTGACCATCATTACCACGTGTTTTATCCCATTTGCTAGAGCTTCGTCGCCGCATTTTTTCCAATATGTTGCACTATCGGATTCTTCGCCAAGCATCATTGTGGAGCCATGAGAGAAGAAATGAACAGGAGTCAAATTCGTCGCTGGCGCCATTTGTACGGATATTGATTATTTTTTCTCGAAGCTGATTATACCATTTGTCAAATTCGACATAAATTCTGGTTGACTCGGTCGTTTATGGTTTTCTATGAATAGGGGGTGAATAATGGATATATGTCCTGGAAATGCGGACTTTGAGAGCCAAAGAAGTGGGGCCGGCATGTTGTCGATCAATCTTAGGTTGTATGAACATACCTTCTTTCCCCGCACATTACAACCTCCACTACGGCAAGTAACCGGCAGATCGCCCGCTTACACATCAAAGTACCTAAGCTTAACCTGGAAGAGGCCGCGTGGTTGTCAAATCTGAAGAGGGACACTGAATGAGATTAAAGAGATCAGATCTCTCCGTATCCAACTCCGCCTCCACCTCCGCCTCCTCCTTCAACTGTCACTAAGACGAGACGACAAGCATATGGCTCCTCTCCCGCGCCAGATATGTCGGATCATTCAACCTTTGACAACGGCAGTGATGCACTAAGCATTCTAATCGATGCAGCGAGTTCAATTGGGGCCGACCGACAAACGCATCCGGGATTCGCTCGGTCATCGCCGCCGATGCCTCCAGCACCAGCCGTGAACCAATGTCGAATATGTCAACGAACCTATGAACGAGGGGACCACCTCACTCGTCACATGAGGTCACATGAGAATTCTCGACCCTTCCGGTGTCAGCGATGTCCAAAGACTTTCAATCGCGTTGACCTTCTCAATCGCCACGTTGCCACTCATGAACGTAATTTGGGTCAAAGCCGCCCAGAGATTAGACGAGCAGAGAGAGCTGGAAAAGCATGTATAGCATGCGCAACAGCAAAGGCAAAGTGTGAAGAGCGGAAACCGTGTTTGCGATGCCGAACAAAAAATCTCGTTTGTGAAGTATCCCAGCAATCTTATAAGAAAAGATGTGTTTCGGGTGTTGCGTAAGTTTATCACTCACAAAGCCTGGAGCTTGGACACTACTCCATTGTCTTCTCCATCATCACCGAGATGTACGCTTTCCCATAATCTGGACTGCAGTCTGACAATAAAAAGCTTTAATTGTTTGGATTCAATTGAAAGATTCAGATCATCTCAGTGGTTGAGATCGATCTATTTCAGTAATCGAAAGCTTCATTATTATTCGAATATCTCGAATTCAATTTGCTAGTTCGGATTGTTGAGCAATTTAGCGCCCCCCGCCGCTTCTCTGAACCCCTTCCACAACTATTCGGAGTGACTCGATGCTGACATACTAGTCGGCATAGGAAAGAGCCACGTGACTCTAATCCGGAGCAAGACTCTCTTCCTCTAGATTCTGTGATACAACCTTCGAGCATATTAGATCCTATTCTACATAGCAATGATGGAACTGATGATTACACAACCACGAGTTCCTATCCGGACTATAGCGCCGAGAATGCAGAAGCAATACTGCAATCTTCTTTCTCCTTATCTGCACTAAACTCGGACAAGGAATCAACGGAATTCAATTTTGTTCAAGACCAACTACCTTTCGATAATCTTTCCAATGAAATGCTTTTCTTTCCTTCAACAATTTTCAACAATCAGATCTCAGACTTCAGTTTTGAGGACTTTAACTTTCAGGAAGAGAATTTCGAATTTACCCCGATGGTTCCAAAACGTCTTACAGTCGACGAGAGTACTGTCTCTGGGCCTTCACGAAAGGTCAATGATTCTAGAAGGGATGTTGCTCGAGGGCATGCAGCATTTTCCCGCTCGCCTTGGCTATGGACGCCAGCTTCAACCGATCACATTCTCAGGGATCGGGATAATTTAGCGGTTGATGAAGAAAACATATCTTTAAATCTCTCCCCTAACGGTGCAAGGCCTTATGAACATTTCTCTATAACATCTTCCTTGCGAGACAAGATGTTTCACCTCGTCTCCACGACTAACAAATATGCGAGTGGTATACCAAGTTTTCCTTCTTTAGATTTACTGAATTGTACGATTGAAGCGTTTTTCTGCCAGCAAAGCAATCAAGACGATAATTGGATTCACACCCCAACAATATATTTAAAAGATGCCCAACCAGAGCTTTTGATTGCCATCGTGGCTGTTGGATCCACTGCCATCTCCTTACCTGCTGTATGGAGAATGGGACTGGCCCTTCAGGATGTAGTGAGATTGAGTGTATCTGAATTGGTAATATCATCCTTTTGGAATCCAGGAGCCGTGCTAATTCTATTCCAACGCAGTGGGAAAGGGCTAACAGTAACACTCGAAAACTCCAGCCACTACAAGCTTGGATGCTTTCCCTCGAGCTTGGTTTATGGAGTGGGTTTCAGAGAAACATGGAACTAGCCGAGAGTTTCTCGCAACCTTTGATCACGGTAAATGATTCATCATTTTTTCCCTAAATAAGGTGTCCATTGCTTTAAGAAATTCAAATGATTCAAATTCCTCGTATTATTGAACTGTCGTTTGGACTATTGAACTCACTTGTCTGGGGAAAAGTCGAAATTAGAATTCAGGCTGATTGGTTTAGATGATGCGCCGTGGTGGAATTTTATCAGCCGCTTCAGATTCCCAGAATCTGATACCAAACCAAAATGATACCGGAAAAAGCCTGGAAGCAAAATGGCAAACTTGGGCACAAAGAGAGTCTTTCAAAAGGTATGTTTGGATACATTCATGAATACTGCAGCCGGCTTACCTTTCATTTTTGAGATTGTCTCTCAAACTGTTTCAGCATGACACTCGTGCTTCTTTAGCCCTTCAAAAACCCCCACTGATTAACTTTACGGAACTATCTTTCTCAGTACCCGCATCTCGTGAATTATTTCTAGCTGAATCTGCAGCGGATTGGAAGTCAGTGTACCTGAAAAAATCTCATTCATCGGTGGTCCCACCACCTCGCTTGATCGATATTATGCACAACTTCTGCGGTCTCGAAGATCTGGATGAACTTTGGGACGTAGATCTGTGTTATGAAGCAGCGTTGAATGGCTTTTGGGGGCAAATATGGGCAATCGGAGAGTCAACCCGTTTTCATGGTATTGATGGAAATAAAGACTCTGTTCATCGGCTATGGATAAGTACTCAGCAGCGAGAGCTTTATCGTGAAGTCGAAAACTTTCGAGATCGAATTTTAGGCAGAGCAAAATTACCTTCAGGACTTAACATCACAGCCGAATTATTTCTGCTAGCTCTGTGTGTTTCTCCTGATGAGTTACAGCGATTCGCTGGTAAATCCGGCCAAGAAGCAGCATCTCAGAGTTTGAAATCATTAGAACGATGGTATACAACGGAAAGTGCAAGGAGGGCAATTTGGCACGCCGGACAAATCTTTCACTGGGCTTCGTTGATGGCTCCGGCTCAGTTGCGGGATTTCTACACCGTTGCCGTCTACTTTGCCAGTCTTACCATGTGGGCATATGGACATCTCTCAAATAGCATCGCCCGCGAGAGTAATAATGAGACAAAGAAGACTCGCGATTCCCCTCAACCAGAGGTTAATCTTATTGGTCCCGAAAGTCGCGAGACTCGGTCATTCATATCCAGTGGTCAGGGGACGCCGATTCTAATTCTGCCACCTCGAAATTCAACGGATATCAATGCTATCGCCGGAATGTCTGAAACCGAC